CTGCAACATCCTGTTGTCGCTGACTGGGAGACTCCAGACTCTCATTTTAATAAATTAACTTCTGGTACATGTTCTGTTCCCCTCAAAATACGTCTTCCTTCCTTTTTTGTCCCAGTGTTTTATGCTTTGTGAACTGGAAACTGATATGCAGCAGTCTCAATTACTGTAAGAATTGATGGAGCTCTCCATCTGATATGAAAAAACACAAGAGAATCCTAACAGGAAGTCTTTTTTAATGTCACACCACAAAACCTGCTTTTCTCAGCTCCTTTAAGGCTGAACGTCTCCACTGATCAGCAACAACAGGAAATAACCTTACATGCATTTTCACATCTCGGCGACTTATTTAAATAAAGAGTACATAAAGAGTTTGTAGAGTCAAAATGGTTGGCAGTTTTATTTCCTTTTTGTGTCCATATGCCTCATGTCTTTTATTTGACTCAGACACGTGTTACTTTATGAGTTTCTATTTTATGCTTCTTTCAAATTCAGATACAGGTTACAAAATGAATCTGGGGGCACGATGATTTTTCAACATAACATTCACTTCACTAGTGTCTATAATGGAGCCCGATTGTCAAGGTCTCCCTCTCACCACTCACGTTGTTGCATCTGAGCAATAGGGCACTCTCTCTCTCTCTCTCTCTCTCTCTCTCTCTCTCCCTCCCTCCCTCTCTCTCCCTCTCAGTCTGGCCCAAACAGATGTTTGCTCTCCATGACGCTCCTCTGTCGACCCACCTGCAGTTTTTTTGAAGAAACATCTAATATCCATAATCTGTTGCATCTGCACAGGTGACTCCATCCATGCTGCCTAGTGTGTTATTAAGGGTCCAAGCCTAAGTGCGCTGTGCTGGGAACCCTGTTGTGATTGTTGTTGTTGACGTGACACTTTTTCACAGAGGGTGTTGCATTCTTGTGTTGGGTCTGAGCTCTACCTCATGAGCTGGACACCAAATATGCTGGTTTTCGGTTGTCTATCAATTTATTGGCTATCATGAATTAAGAAAAATATTAATATTAAAAATATCAATATTAAATAATAACTTTAAAATGAATTAAAGTCCTCGGGGCACCAGCCTAAACTAATAGGCCAAATAGCCAATATGGTTTTAGTCTCAATTTATTACCATTAATCTGGAACTCTGATTAACAATTAGAGTTTACTAACTATAACCAAACTACCAAATCAACAGTAAGTTAAAGTTGAAGGATTGGAATTCTACCAAGTAGAGGTTGGCAATATTCACGCTTGTGCAACATTAAACACACCAGTAGTTATACTTAAAGGCATTTATTTACCATGGAGCAGAGTAAAACACAATGTCTGATCTAGTATATACAGGTGTGTGTGTGTGTGTGTGTGTGTGTGTGTGTGTGTGTGTGTGTTTGTGTGTGTGTTTGTGAGGACACAAACAAAGGCAAGATGGCCGATTCAAAGTGGTCACTGTGACCACATGATCTGAACAAAGAAGACTACACAAGATGGCGGTAAACAAAGAAACTACTCAAAATGGCCGCTGAGACCACCTGGGGTGTGTGAGAGGGAAGGTGTGAGTTTCTTTGTTAGCCTAGCTCATGTAATCTAAAGGTACCAGGTTAGAGGGAGGAGGTTAGCTTCATGCAGGTTCTAGAACTGAGACGTACTACTATGTGTGTGAACATACTAAGCAAACATTACAACAACAAGTCTCTTTGTGTTCATGTCAGACATGCTGCTGCCCCAGCAGACTGCAGCATTTATGCTGCAGACTGCAGCATAAAAGAGTCCACTGGCCACCACTGACTGATAAAACATGTGCAGCATTTCACTGCAAACGTTAAAGGACCTGAGCCTCCTGAGGAAAAAGAGCCGGCTCTGCCCCTTCAGGTAGGTGGCATTCGTGTTCAGGGACCAGTCCAGTTTACGGTCCAGGTGCACACCTAGGTATTTATAAGTGTGCACCACCTCAATGTCCTTCCCTCCAATGTTGACTGGCTGAAGGGTGGGCCTAGACCTCCGACAGTCGATGACCATCTCCTTGGTCTTGGAGGTGTTCAGAAGGAGGCAGTTCTTGTTGCTCCATTCACTGAAGGCCATCGTCAGATCCCTGTACTGCTCCTCCTGCTGTTCCTGATAGGCGTCACAATAGCTGGGTCATCTGAGTATTTCTGGTTGTGGCAAGACTCAGTGTTGTTTTTAAAGTCGGCCGTATACAGGGGGAACAGGAGCAGAGCCAGAACAGTTCCCTGTGGAGCTCCAGTTCTGCTCATGACTGTCCCTGAGACACAGGGTCTGTAGTCATTTATCTCAGCCAGTATGTGGACTTGCTCCCACTTGTTGCCAGCGCATCATTATATGTGTAAAAAGTCTTCTTTGTGGAAGTCAAGTTATAGCAGCTGGTTTATAGCTGGTGATGTCAGCCATATTGAATCATGACAGTCTTGTGACCTGAGTAATTACAGTGTAGACGCTTGAATCTAGAGAGTGAAAAAAGACTCAGGCGCACTGATCTGGAGCCTCTTCTATTTGTAAGAGGAAGATGCATCATTCATGCCAAAATGATGAAAAACAGTCAACTGTCTGATCGCAGTTTTGGGGGTGGGACCATGGAAAGAGCTTATCAATGGTGACCTTGTTTGAGGTGAACTGAGCTTCGCCTGGAGAGCAGATGAGAGCAGGCGGCAGCAGCAGGGAACAGTGACTAAAATCTGCAGTCAAGATAGACAGTTTCCAGTTACAGACTCATCCTGATAGAGCCAGTCCCAATTTAATAACGTACTATCAGATCTATTCAATCAATCTATTCAGATTGTTCCCAGCTCCCAACTGTGGTGATTGTTTTCCTTTGTAGACTGTTCAAATGCTATAGTGGCGTCTGTGATCTCTGTCTATGCTTTAACCTCCATATTACATCTTATCAGTTTGTCTCCTTATATAAATCAGCTGACCAGGTTGTCTCTCTCAAATTCGATAAATGAATTCAAAACAATAATAAATAGTCAAAATACACGAGGAGAGGAAATGAACACAGTAGATTTGATTATTGATCTGTGAGATATTTAGACTTGTCACCTCTGCACAGATGCTATTTTTAGAATCTTCACATTTTACCAAAGGTTTTTTTTCTGTTGTTTAATACTTTAAGAATTCAATCAGTTCTGTCCATATAGTAGACTATAGACCTATGATAGGTTGTCTTCCATGCACTGGAACTATCTGTAATATAAGCTGAATGTATTCAGCCGCTCTAACTGATAAGTCTCCATCGAACACACATTTATTCTCTTTGCAGATTAAACCTTCATGGTGTGAAATCCAGCTATGAAATGAAAATCTCTCCAATTAGAAAGACAATGAAAAGTTTCTATAAAAGGTCAAGTTGTTGATTCATCTTCTAAACCAATCAGCTGTTAGATCAGGTGAGAGCCAGGCGTTTCCCATCATGCCCTGAGGTGCTACAGTTAGCGGAGAGCAACTGTGATGCTTCAATGACAAAAAAAAAGTTCCTTTCACCTCCTCATGAAAATTGATGATGGTGCTTTGTGTTTAGTTTCACCAGGTCAGTAAATCTCCCTCTGCTGGACAACATTGAAATACAACAAGCCTCTTCACTTTGTTATTACTGGTGTAATTTTATTTTAAGGGAAACTTCATGTCATGAGGAAAAACAAAACAAAAGGCTAAATAAATGTAATTTAACAAATGTTTTTCATTTCATTATTGTTACTAATATATCATCATTATTATATTATACAATTAACATTGTGTTGCGTTTCACTTTTATGTCTGTGTGTACAGTGATGTGTAACTAATAATATTATTGATTGATTCAGTTCCATGAAGTGCTCCAGAATGCCACTCCAGTGATCGAGCATGCACAATACTAGGACCCTAGAACTGGCTCACTTAAATTGAATGCAACCATGACATGTGAGAAAAGCTCCATTCAGTCTGATTATCAGACTGTGGGAAAATCACAGGTGCAAAAGAAAATTCATTAATGCATTCCATTGACGTGGACCAGGGAGCAGCAGGTACGACAGGAGCACTGTGGACTGATAGAGGCTGCAGCCACTATTAACATTACTACTCACAGCTGTGGTTGTCAGCCGTATGGAAATGTCTGCTCAGAAAAAGTCCTATAAATGTAATGATGATAAAAGCAAACAGCTCCTTCCTCTACATGACTTCCTGGAAGGCAACACATTGGAGTGAGAGATAAAACAATCAGGAGCAAGAGTCTTCCGGGTGGAGTGAGGTCCACACACTGCTGAGTGAAAAATTCTAATTTAAGAGTGAAATCCTGACTGTCTGTGTCCAGAGAAAACTGGACAAACCAGTGTTAGATATTTATTATATAGTTTAGATATTTTTCCTTTCAACAAGGGCAGGGTGTTTTTCAGCCATATGTGCAGAGGCTAAATAATAATAGGGTGTCTTCATAGACAAAGCATTGTGATCTCTGACATTTGTGTTTGGCTAACAGTCTTGCCAACATGTCCAGAGAACTACAAAGACCAATCCACAGGCCACTCACTAACTGGTCCAGACCACCATCTTCAGAGCCGCTACTGGTTTTGACCAGTGGTCTGTTTTGTCTGTTTTGGCTGATTTGGCGACAGACCAGACTGAAATATCTGTACAACTATTGGATTCATGATTCATTCATGTTCTCCTCAGTATAACTAAATTTGATGATGCCCTGACTTTTCCTCTATTATTAAAGTTGTGTAATACTTTTGTTTGTGACCAGATATCAACCTCGGCTGTACGTTGGTGTTTATTGCTAATTAGGAAACAACAGCATATTATCACACTAAACTAAGACTAAACTCGTCAATTTAAATATTATACCTCATCATCATCAGCATGTTAGTGATGTCATTGGAAGCATGTTAGCATGCTGACGTTAGCAACAGAGCTGTTAGCATGGCTGTAGACTCACTACCATTTGGATCTGTTATTTTCGACTGAATGTGAAAGATGATCACTGCTAATTTTCTCCCTCCTTTCTCCACAGATGCATTGGGTTTGTGATTTTACCTGATGTCAGCACCCTCAGGGGGTGGGAGGGTCTGCAAAATCAAAACCCAGTAACTGACCTCAGTTGAAACTTTCAGCTGGTGCCCACTTCTGTGACCGCCCCCATGTTCCTGCATAGCACTAAATAGCTCTTTCTAAAAAACACTGTTGCACAGCTGAAAGAAGAGACTTGTTTTCAGTATGGAGGGCGTAGCAGTGCAAAACCTGATAGACTTTGACCTGCCCTCAGATAACACAGCTCTCAGCGCAGATGCAAGCCAACATGAAGGCCACACAGATATTTTCTCCCCAGAGCCAGCGTCTTCCATGGGAGTCCAACAGCAGCCCTTACTGCCAGAGCCCATGGCACCATCCAAGGCCAACTCTCACCACCAACACCACCACCACCGCCAAGAGGAAGGAGGCAACGACAGTGACGCCACAGAGTCAGCAGACAGCGAGAACGACATGGACCCACCCTCTCATACGTGGGAGCTGAGGAGGTCATCGTCTTCGTCCGCTCACAGTCGGGAGGACGCTGACGCTGAGGCGGTGGAGAAGAGGCAGTTCATGAAGGCTTATGTGGAGAAGGTGTTTCATGGAAAGTAAGGGACTTGGTTTTTTTTAACTTCCAACTTAAACTTTTTAAAAACTGTGCTCTTTTAATCAGTAATAATCAATAGTTTCTGTCCTATAGTTTAATCCATTTTTATGATCATGATGATTTGCTGATGGAATTGCTACGTATGTCCAGAAGAACATCATTTCCACAAATGTAGATCAGAATTGAGCCAAACATGGTGGTTCTATGAAACTGCACAGGAACATACAGTATCTGTTCAGTCCGGAGCAGCTCACCGAGGCACCGCAGACACTCTCATCTGAATGATGTTGGGGCTATTGATGTAGTAAACCTTGTGTGGCTTATGGGTGCAGGGGGAGAGGTGAAGGTGCCCCTCAGCCTCAAGTACTGTCTAAGAAGGACCCTCTGCCACTACCTGCAGGAAGTCTGAGCTCAACAATGTGACTGTCAGACAACTTGTTGAACTTGTTTACACTTTCCCGTTATTCCATAACTGCCAGCAGACCCTCTATATACCTTTCTGTCCTCACCCTCTCCATCTTCCACCAGTTTTTCTTTTTATCCTATAAGTTTTAATGTTTTGTTGATGGTTTGTTTTGTCAGCAATTCTCCCTTTTCCCTGACTTTGTGACACTGATGTTTTCTCCTGCTTTGGGCTGTATATTCACTTATACTCAGATCAACACTGTTCTAGTTCTGTCACCCACAATGACTAGAAAGATTCACCCGGTCAGACGCTTCCATGACTCACCAGCGGAGGCCCATGGGGGACAGCAGTCTGACTGACGCATGAATATTTGACAACAGATCAAGTGTCAGTTTGGTAAAATGTTGAGAGGGCACTTCTAAATATCATGGCACCTTTGTGTTTAATTTCACAGACGTTTCTTGAACTTTTTCTTGGCATTTTCCCTGCAGAGATCCTGCTGGGTGCTGTCTCTCTGTCAGATATTTTTTGCTATCTGTTGGTCACTGAGCTCTTTGTTCAGTGCTAGAGATGGTAAATTGAAATAGTAACCCCCTCTGTAATGTCATAATCTAAAAGAATTCATGAGACCTCCAAGCCTGCAGTCTGCTGGTGACGACCTGCACTTCACCCCTCTTTACTTTATTTAGGACATTTCAGTCATCTTTACTGACTGACCCTTGTTCATTCATCATCATGTTTCTACCATGATGACAGAAACGGAGAAAATAGAGTCACATTTCTGTTGACTGAATTGTAGAACATGATACGATGCTACTTTATTGTCATCTTAAACTAAGGCAGTTCCATCTAAGAGGCTGACACTCAGATTACATGTACACTTACACGTATGACACTTCATCCAGTTATACATAACATAACATAACAATCAGAACAATCATGGAAATCACATACAGATAATAAAAATCATCATAAAAATCATGCAGAACACATACTCGTAACCACAGTGTGTCATGTTTACACCTTGGGTTTGTTCAGATTAAACAAACCAGACATAATGTGCTAATGAGTGGATTTTAGTTGCTTGTAGGTGGAATTTCAGGGCTAGCTGTTTCCACCTGTTTTCACTCTGAGTTAAGCTAACTGGCTGCTGGTAGCCGCGTCATGTTTACCATACAGACATGAGGTTAGTGTCAGTCTTCTTGTCTAACTTTCTGTATTACTCTCCCAGAATGTCGAACTATTCCTTTAAAAGTTAAAGGTTTCCTGTTAACATTAGCTGGAAGCTCAGTGATCTAAAAACAGGGCACCACTGCTGAGCCGTAATGCAGCTACACACCTTGGCATTGCCAACGATACAGAGTTTGTTAGGCATTTCAAATTGTGCACATTTTTTTTTTAATTCTTTTTGTTAATACAAAGTCTTGTGCATAGATCTTGTCGTTTTTGAATATTTTCCATGAACAGCTCAAAGATATAGCTTTGAATTTTTTTCAGACTTAATTGAATCTGATACATTATTAAATAAACAAAACCGTCTATGAAGAGACTATCCATTTACAGGGTCTGTGTATTACACCGTGTTTTCACAGGGAGGACTTTGACCAGGAAGAGAAGGCTCGGTTTGGAGAACTGTGCAGTGGAGAGACTAGCAAAGGCAGGGAGTGGTTTGCCAAATATGTCAGCGCACAGGTGAATATGGGGAAATGATGGGATGGTAACTGTTCAAACATCACGTGTGACCTTCGAGGAAACTAACCTAACCTCAATATTCCAAATTCATTGGCCAAAGAATTAAAGGTTCTTGTTGGACCCCAAACACATAGTGAGTTTTCTGAAACTGAAAAAGATCTAAAATAATTACAGATATTTGTGGTATTTAAGTGGCTCTCCAGATGTAAACAAGACCAACTAATTTCCTTGTTTTAAATGACGTTAATGTTTCCCTTACTTCAAGGAATCACTGTGTGTTTGAGGGTGACACCTGTTTCAAACTTGGGTTTTGGCAGACATAGTGATGGGTAGATCAGTTTTGAATGAACTGTCTCTTTTAATTAATAAATATACATAAAATTTGTTAGACATTATAGTGCCCATGTGAAAACAGGAAAGCAAACCAAAATAAAATTAGTGGTGGAGTCCTCAGTAAGTTTTTGAATGTATTAAGTTTTTTATTTGTATAACTTAGCTGATGGTTGTTGATCTTATCTTTCTGATGAGTTTTAATAATCAAGCTTGTAACTGTCTCTGTCACACTGTGTTCACAGCGCTGCCACTCTAAATGTGTGAGTGAAGCTACCTTCTACAGACTGATGCAGTCTTTTGCAGTTGTCCTGTTCGAGTGAGTCTACATGTGGTTGACTTTGTCGGAGACCAGCATACTATAATGATCCAAACCTATCTGACTGTAAAGGATGAGTGTGGGGACAATCTATACATTTGTTTTTGTCTGCAATTTTCATGAAAGACAAAAATATCTCAATACTTTTTGACTTTTGTATCCTGTCTCTGCCTCTCTGTCCAAAGCCCATTGGTTGTATATAATACTTATGTCTATGAAAGACATACTGTGTAGAGTAAAGTAAGTATCATTTATTAAAACAAAGGCTCTGTAATCTCCTAAAACAGCTGGGCATGGTAGTTTTTAGCAAATGTTACTCAGACTGGAGGAAATAGAGCATTTTATGGGGACTATTTTCAGCAGTGGATTAATACACACTTGCACTCTAGTGTTTATTTCCAGCAGCATGTGTATGTGGGACTGAATCAGAATAAACTAGTGTGTGTGTTCATGCTAATGAAGATACATGTCACCCAGTGCAACAGTGTGGCTCACTGATGTATTTTGAATAGTTTTTAGGAAACAATGCAGCTCTACGGCTCCGGGGAATAAGATGTATCAGGTTTGGAATACACAGCCAACCATGATTTGTAGTATCAGTTTAAAAAAAAAACATCCCACCCACTTCTCCTTTGAGTTGAAAAGACCCAGTAAATGACATCAGTTCTTGCAGTGAGGTCATGATAGGATCATCTCTAAAGACATGTCGTGTTTACAGATGTTACCAGATGGACGACTACAGCCCGGCCAAAAACCTCATGACTATGTGCTTCACATACTACTACATTGGTAAGGTCTAATTCCAGCTAAACATTTTCACTCTGTATCGTTCATGTTCTTTTCAAACTGTCAGACTAGTTTTACATAAACACCATGTGGTGTTGAGGTTAAGAGCAACTTAGCTCTTAATTACAAAAGAAAAGAATTATACAGCAAAAGAAAGAAAAGCAGCTGTGTGTGTTTAGGTGAAGATCTCTCCTCAGTGCTGATTCAGCGAGCGTCACTGCCACAGGTTGGCCCTGTGGTTTCTGTTGCAGCAACACCACAAACAATACATGCAGTGACTTTGTGGGGTTGCATCAAGGTTGTGTTTGTGCTTATGAAAGTAGGAAGCTTTTCTTGATTAGTCAACCAGTGTGCAACAACATCTGTCTGCAGTCAGGTTTGCTGTAATGTTTTAGTTTTTTACATATGAATATGAATAAACTAGCACCACTGGCAACTTCACACTGGTGGATGGCTACAAAAAATGTCCTTACAAATGATACAAACCTGCAAAGAAATACAACACTGATGGATCCATCTGAAGCTGGTGGACTAATTATTGTTTTCATTTCCTGCTCACTGAGTTACAGCTGGCTCAGGTGAAGCTAATTGGTCCATCACATTTCAGACAGGCCAATTTTCTCTAAAGACCACATGGTGTCTCACCTGTGAGATTAACCTGGGTCCAGTTTCACAAAGACAGACTGTGACTGTGTCTTAGATATAACAGTCAGGCTTCATATAGACTGAGTCTGAATTCATCTGTTGCTCAAAGCAGTTTAGTTCTTCACTATCTTAAGTTGGACTGTAGTACGATGAATTCTGGGTAAATTAAGAATTTTTTTTCTAAATTAAAAAATGGCCGACCGAGGAGCCACAGAAAATGTTTGTCTTTTGGAAGAATTCAACAGCTACAAAGACGTTTACTTGAGAAATTCAGTGAAGTTAGATAAAAAGAAAAATCTGATTTGGAAAAAAAATTGCTACAATCAATTTTAGCAAACCGCAAATGATGAGCCATCTTTTCCTGTTCTTTGTTATTGAATGCTACCGGTCAGCACAGGTGTCATTGATTGTTACCATGGTAACATTGCTTTTAGGCCTGAAGCAGTCTTACTTGCATCAGACTAATCTATGAGCATAATTAAGACTGGACCGACACTACACACCAGTCTGAAATGTCTTTGTGAAACCGGCCCCAGGCCTCAGAGACTTGAACATGTGGCTTTGGATAAATTCTAAGGTGATGTCTGTCAACAATATAATTAGTATTCTGTACACTGTTTATCAGCCTGACCAGTCTGTGATACCATAGACCAAAGGCAACACAGGGACATCGAGTTAAAAAGACAGACTGCTGTTAAAACAAATTTGTCTTGTGGGGCTTTAAAACATATAAAACATTTCATTAAAGCCATACAAAGACAGAAATCATCATTTTAAACTCGCTGCTCTCCTCCTCTTCAGGGAAGTCTCAGCCGTCTCCCTCAGAGCTGCTGGATCGTGGTGGACCTCCAGCTGGTCTGGACTCATACCTCAACAAGGCCAACTCCTGGCTGACTGGGAAAAAGGATGCTGCCGAACGCCTCCTTAAAACTACACCTAAGCCTGACGTCAAAGGCTTCTTTGGAGGTCTAGAGAGCAAGCTGAGGAGCTCAATGGCTCCTAAGCCTGAGTGAGAAAACGCTCAGTTAATGAATTTTCTTCACAAGCATAGTCTTATATGATTTGAATTCCTTACTCTTCCCTTCCTCCGTTTCTCTTCCTCCTAGACAAGGGGAAAGCCCAGGTGAGACGAAGCCCAAATCACCAGGTACAGTGCTCTTACTGCTGTTCAACAGACAGTACAGGAAAAACCTTTCTCCTTCTCCACTGATCTGTTAACGTTCATAAACTGTGGTTTAGAAATGTATTTAGCTTTGGCAGTGCCTCATGTTTTGTCTTCCTCCACAGTGTCTGAGGCTCCGGAGGAAAAGAAAGGAGAGAAGGTTTACCTGTACACTCACCTGAAGCAGCAGCCTATCTGGTAAGTCGTTGATCCATCATGTACTGTCCCTGTGCCTCATCAGAAGCTCATTTAGATGTCTCTGAAACATTTTACAGTGCATCAAGACTGTCTGCAGAAACCAAAGGGTAATGTTAATTTTGTAAAAGACAGTATTAAAATGAACTCAACTTTATAATATATATATTCTCCGCTGAAAATCTGCCTTCTAAGTATTGAATACATGCTGCCGACTGTATCGAGAGCAGCATATCTATGTTTGTCGCCATGGTTACTATACTACTATATACTACAGTCATGGCTTGGCTTTGCTTAGGTGAAGTTCATGATTTGGGTTAAAATAAGTACTTCCTCAACATTAGACCATCTTTGTTGTCATGGTTACAATAATAACAACTAATAGTAACTTTGTTAGTTAAGCAATTTTACACAAGAGGTTGTGATGTTGTACTGAATACCAGCCTGCGGCCTCGTACCTATGACCCAATCACAGCTGTGCTGGTATTCAGTACAACATCACGACCTCGACTGTGATATTGCTTTTATACTACGGTTCTACGAGCGCCATATTGGTTAAATAAGCAACAACAGCCAACACAAATAGTTCTACAACTGGACTGGTACTAGACTGTTGCTAAGCAACACGCAATATTTTCCTGGCCTGTACAGTGCACACTAGCTTACTACTTTGTCTACTCATTACCTCAGGAGTGCACTGAAGTATCCAGGATCTTTCCTTTCATCCTCTTCTGACGACCAGACATCATTTAATTCAAATATTATTTCCATGAAAGACAAACTTCCAATCAAATTACTTGGTTGGAACTAACTGTTGTATAATCATGGATACAACACAAACTGCTAGAATGGTACATCGCTCTCCTGTGTCATATTCATCCATCCACCACAACCTCCTCCTGACGTGGACTTCGTCTCTCTTTATACTACGTCACCGCACTTTTCCCTTATTTCCTGTCATAATTACTACAACACTGGCTGTCGCCTAGCAACAAAACATAACAATGGTTCATAATAACCTGCTGCACAGATGATCTATGGGCTCATTTCCTACAGGAGGACAGTCTCTGAATTCCCAACAGTTGCAGTGGTTTCAATGGTGACCAAAAAAAAAACCTCTCAGACTACTTCTCCAGCCTGATCAGCTTCTCTCCTGACGATCTACATGTTTAGTTCTGTTTCGCTCTCCAACAGTATCAGAAAAATATCTAGTTCTTAAGCCACTCTTCACCAGCTAGTCTCTAACTTGGTCTGCGGGTTATGTACAGTGGCTTTATTAGAGATTAGTTGGGCTGATGAGAGAAGCTGAATGCTGCAGTAGCGATGTGCTGCTTTAACTTTGACTGTTGTTTGGTGCTGGACAGGAAGTGCACAGTTGGCTCTCAGAGCTTTTTGATTAAAAACAGCTTCCTCCTGCAGGAAGAAGAGGGACACTACGAGAGCAGAGAGAGCGAAACTAAACAGTACAAGTTTCCAGTCAAAATAATCAGCCAAAAAGTTAAAAGAGACAAAAGTTCTGTAGAGATGAAGGGAATGGTTTGTCACTACAACTGAACCCTTTCACATACAAGTACACCATTGTTAATGATTGTTTGTTGATTATAATTGTGACCATATTTCCTGCAACGTGGCTGTTTGGTGGAGGCAAACAACCACAAGGTGGTAATTCTAGTTTTTTTAGAGTGTTTCACAAGAGAAAAAAATACATGAAATAGATATATAATAATATAATAAATTGATAATTCAAATTCAAATCTTTCTTTTCTTTCTTACCTATTCAAATTATGTTGTGGCCCCTAGGGACGTCTAGGGGGGTCCTGACCCCCATAACTGACAACATTAAGCGTGTATCAAAGCATTGTAATATGGACCATATCACAGCTTAATGCACCACTGTGTGGGATATAGAGTGATCTATTGACCATGTGCCCTCATGTTTTTGTCCTGGAGAAATGTTCTTTGCAGCCTCATCTCAAGTGATGTAGTGAAGTAGTCCAGGCAGGAAACTTGTAATGTGTCGTCTGTTCTCTGTCAGGCACACGCTGAGATTTTGGAACGCTGCTTTTTTTGATGCTGTCCATTGTGAAAGGAAGAAAAGATCACCAACCACAAGGTGAGGGTGGAGAACAGTCTGAACAGATAAATGAAACAATTAACTGTTTTATTAGTATGATATATTACAAATTTTAGTATCTTTTAAACCCTAAGTGCTCTATTTCTCTCTGTGTGTTCCTTTGTCACTGTAACTGTCCATTGAAATATTAATAAAGGTTGAAGATCCTGTATGGATGATCTGCTGCTTCAGCAAAGACAAATCTCACAGTGCTGTTCAGTCTAAACCACTGACAATCTCCTGATGCCCCACACCTCTTCTCTTCTCTTTTCCTCTCTTTTCCTCTCTTTTCCTCTCTTCTCTTCTCTTCTCTTCTCTTCTCTTCTCTTCTCTTCTCTTCTCTTCTCCTCTCCTCTCCTCTCCTCTCCTCTCCTCTCTAAGCTGTTGTTGTTCTCCCTCTTTCTGCATGTTGACTTTGTCTCTTTGTGCCTTGCTGCCGGGCAGGGGAACGCAGGATGAAGAGAAAGACGAGAGGTCTGTCCTTCTATTTGTCCGCTGCCCTAGAAAAAAACAAAACAAAGAAAACAAATAAACAGAAAGAAAAACAAAGTCAAACAAAGAGGAAAAGCACAGAATTAAGGAGGCAGACAGGAGGAGAAGGGCAGAGGCTCTGCAGTTTGAGTCACAGATCTTCTAGAAACAGTATCTGGTGACGTCAGAGCTGGAGGGGACAGAGAGCTAGCTGAACAGACTGTTGTTGTGTGGTTCTGTATGGTTTTAAGAAAAATATTGGTAGATATTTTGTTACGTGACACATTGGAAATATTTTGTGTATTTAGCTTTTCCCTTTTTGGTTTGGTCTATGAAGATGAAGAGCTGTGTTTAGAGTTGCACGACTAGCCAGAACAAGTAGTAGTTTGACTGTTGGTCAAACCACAAGACAAGACAGTGATGGTCTGTGGTGTGTGTGTCTAAGACATTTAAAAAGACCCTGAGGAAGAGGAATTGAATCTTTTGTGTTCTGGCATAAATAAGTACAAACTATGCATAAGGCTCCTTGGTTAAATCTATAAAGGTGGCAGAGTTTATATAATAGATTAAAGTGCAGTTATTTAAATAATTTCCGTGTCAGTGGCAATTCAATAATATTGACAATATTTTTAAAAAAATTCAACCCTAGGTGACATTTACATCATTAAAATGAAGCTTCACCACCAACGGCTAACTACAAAGTTATTATATATTATATTATATGCTTAAGAGATAGCGGGGACAGGGGAACTGGTCATAGTCCTGGTAGCATGAAGTGTGCCGCAGGAATAATTACAAGATTTTACAATGTTTTAACTATAATCAATTAATAAATTCATCAATTCAAAAATAACTGATTGAAAAATTGATAGACTTAAAAAAGTTAGGCTTAGCTAATTAACAGCTGATTTGCCAGCTGCTATGGAGGTCTGTTCGGTCACAGCTTCTGATGCTGTATTCACATCTTTAAATTTTACCGTGTGGAGTTTTTACCACTAGTTGTGCTGTGGAGCAATGTTTAAATTGTTTATCATTGATTTGTGCACACGCATGTGGTGGCACATCCATATAAGAGCTCATGTGGGGGATGGGATAGAGAGCCCTGCAAACAGTTTCACACTTTTCCACTGATTCACAGCTGGTATTTCTAAGAAAAGAGATTTCAAAATATTCAAAATATCAACATTGCAAATGTTTTATGAGCAGGGAAATATGTTAAACATGTGAAAGAGAAACAGTGAATATAAACATAATGCGTTTGTTTAATAGAAAACTTCACCTGCTACCTATTAAATTCAAGAAAGCTTCAGTGTCTTTAAATCAAAGTTATCACACAGTAGAAACTGTAAATTTTAAAGCAGGAAACAAAAGAAAGAAATGCAAGATAGAACACAGTAAACCCCCCAAAAAATCCTTAAAGCCTTATAATTAAAGTAGCATTCCATCTTAAAATTGTTGATTACGTGCAACTGTGATTATGTTTTAATATGTTTTTACTTTGAGTTATTAATGCTTAATTGAAAAGCTAATTTGATTAATCAGTTTGTCGCTTTTAAAAACGTGTCAGTATCTTAACTGATTATAATTAAACGTGGTGCAAGTCTATAATCATTCCGCCGGCACACTCCAGACTCCACAGCTGCCAAGACGGATGACCCACACCACACATCCTCTTCATCAGCTGTGACGGGCGTGAGACTGTGAATCAAAGTGAAACAGACGGTGCGTCGAGGAGGGGGGTTAATGTGGGTGCAGCTTGGTGCTCAGGCCTCTTGTGAAGGGTGAGGCTCAAGGTCTGGGAGTCACCCTGGGTCTAATTTGCAGTTTGTCAGATGCGCTCCAGTGAACAGAGATAGGATAGTCACTAATGGTAAATCCCCAGACTGGATGACTGGAGTCTGATGTGAGACTGTGTTGTGTGTAAATTAAAAGATATAATCTGTTTAATCACAGCAGGGCTGAACTGTCCACATCCCTAGAATTATAAATTGAAAGCAGTTTGACTTATGATTATAATTGAATCACTGTGTTTGTGTAATGTTGATTTATTTAGTGAACCCTATAATTATATTTCTGCTTCTGTTGGCATGTTGTTGTGGTCGTCTAATAGGCGATGTGATTCACCTGGGTATTCTGTCATGCTGCTGTTGAAATGATTTTTGTGGCGAGTAAAAGCTTCACACCCACAGTTAACATCCTGAATGTGCAAAGAGACAGTGTTAAATGTCTGGGATGGTATTTATATCCAGAGGCAGCAGCACTGCAGTCTGAAGTCTCTGTCTCTTCACAGCTCACTGCATGTTCACACCATTAAGCTTCTTGCATGTGATGGTTTTTCTACCTCCATCTGCATGTTCCCCTCGCTGTCTCTATCTTTGCACATTTCTAAGTTTACACTGTGGATTGATAGTCGAGATATGGAGAGTTGTTCATGTTGCACATGACATAAATACAAATAAGTAAACACGTTGCTGTTTTGTCGATTTTGATGTCTGGAGATGTGTTATTTTTCATTTCTTACCTTAACAGGTCGCGTGAGTTGATGTGTGATGTTGAGATATTTACTTATGATCCTCAGTAGAGTATATAGTCGATTTATTATTTTTTGGCTTTTTTGGCTCAGTTTTTCACCTGGTCCTGAGGGAAATACCTGGATTTTTAGCTGCTAAATGCTTAATTGAGGTTTAATAGAGACTTTTTGTTGCTACCTGATGCTGCTGTAAATGAGACAGATGAGAAAGGAGAAGCTGAAATTCTCTCTAGAGCTAAAGAAAACACTGGAGTCAGGCATTAATTGTGGGTGCATCACCTTTAGAGCCCACTTTGTTGTTACATATAGTTCATCAGTTAGCCCGTTCTTATTATTGTCCTGTTGTCCATCAAGGTTTTTAAATATAAATCTCACCATCATCTAAGAATCTGTATCTGTATAAATCTGTATTTTCATAGTGAGGATAGGTATACCTATAGAAGCTCTGAGAGGCAAGTAAAAAAAAAAAAGTATTTGTTTTTGCAATACTCATTTTGGCCACAAGAGGCTGAAGTGCACCACTATTTCAGTTTAAATAGGACCAAAAGCGTTCATGTTATTTTCCAGGTCATTTTTAATTTCTCCATGTGCTCTAAACAGAAGGTAGTGTTTCGTTTAGCTATAAATGTATTTTAATCAGCAACGTTTTTCTGCAAGAGAGGCTTTAAAGATCTACAAACCCATACAAAGAGCAGGTCACAGTGGATATTTGGGTTAAACATTGGACTCTCACCCAGGAGACTGAAGTTCAATTCCTGTTGTACTGTATTTATTGACTTATTTACCCCAAGCTAACACATTGTATCTCTACCTTGTGTTTAGAGTACATGGAGAAATTAAAAATCACTTGGAAATTACCATGAATTCCTTTAGTCCTGGTGCATGTCAGCCTCTTGTGGCCAAAATGAGTATTACAGAAACACACAAAAACAAAAACACTTATGACAAAAAAATCAGAACAAAACCAAAACACTTGCATCTTTAGGCTTCTGTATATATACTGTATATACCTGTGTTTTATAAAAGTTTTAGATTTCAGCATCAATAATAATACAGGTAATTTGCATTTGTTGTTCAGGACAGCAAAGGAAAGTACTTCTTCATAGTCACGTGAAGTAGTGAAATTGTATAGTTTTTACCCAGTGTTTTTTTTTACAACTCAGGTCAAGTCAGCCATGGAAAAATGTTTCAGGTTATTAAGTATTTACATTAATACACAGTGTGAATCTATGCTTTTCATCTGCTTGTTAATAATAATTTGGGAATGAGTCATTTGTTGTTTTATTCTTTCGCTGATGGCCGGTTAATGTGTTTCTTGTCCTTTAATATTGTTTCATGTGTTTTATGTGTAATGGAATCTTGCTTTTTGGTTTCCATTACAAGATGAGCAGTTACAGGGATGGATGTCATGGATGTCAGCTTCTTTAGGCAGATTACAGAGCTGTTTTAACCATAAAAAGTAGAATAGTGAAAAGTTAAAGATCCCATTGTCCAGCATTTTAAAGGTCCCATATTTTCCCCTTTTTTTCCCCCTTGTTGATCCATAAGAAGATATATTTGTGGTTTTAAGAACCAGAGAGGAGGCTCTGAGCCTCTCTTCTGATTGGCTCTGTCTGTTTTCTGAGTGATCCACTAAAAATATAGCAGATTCCAGTTAAACACTCAGAGAAACCAAATCCTGCAAGATTGGATGGTTGGTCCAGGTGGGCAGGGCTTGGGGCATGGCTGAGAGCAGTGACTGCTGTGACATCACAAAGTTTCAGAAGTCCTGACGGCTGGTTTTAAGGCTCAGTTTCTGAATACAGGCTGTGTGCATTTCTCTGTGAACTGAGGCTTTGATACTTTCACAGTGTTAATATAGAACCTAGACCTGATCTATAATCAAACTACACATGGACATCTACCTTTATACTATATGGGACCTTTAAAGTTGTATGTAAAACCAGTCTGCTGTCTATGGTATTGCTTCAAAAAGTCAGCATGACATCGACAGGAGATCTTTTTTGACACCCAACCCTGACCTGTTTCTGTAGAGAAGCTGAAGGTCAAGTCGAGACTTGAGAATTAAAGCTTGGTTCTGACTGTCTCTGTGCTGCAGGGAGAAGTGGTGTCACATGACCCAGGAGGAGAGGGACGACAGCTCCAAAATCGATGAGAACATTGTCTTCGGCCAACTGGGGTGAGGATGCCAAAGTGTTGTCCGTGCACTCATACAATGGAATAAAACACACAGAGGCTTTAAGCGTCAAACATGTTACTTTTTTGGACACACACACTGACATTTATTAAACACCACAGACATTTATTATTATACTACTTTCTAGACCAGTTGGAGGACACATGCGCAGTTGGTGCCCCTGTAGTGTAGTGGTGGTGGGGTTTTTTTTCCACTCTGTGTCTGATTGGCTTACCCTGATATTCTTACTTAATCCTAACTGAGTACTAGCCAATCAGAGGCAGGGGAGGGGTGGGTATCGCACACCTGGGGGCCTCGTGTACGCACTCTGATGACAAAATTTGCATCACTAGGGCCGTAGCAGACCCTCAAATACTTGTGTATGCAGAAAGTACAACACTACCCTCAGATTGGAGCTGGGAGGAGTTTCAGCTGGTTGCTTACGGAGGCCTCCTCATGGTAAAACAAGTGAGGCTACTGGTCCCAATAATAACAATAATATATGATATTTATTTTAGGTAGAGAAGTAGAGATTATACTTAGGTTTAGCCATTTCCTCTCTTCTGATGCATTTAGAAAAATAACTTAACCATTCCTATTATAGATGCAGATAAAGCACACTTTGTAGGAGAGGGTGTGAAACTGTACAGTCATTTATCACTGGTCCACATATTGTCTTTCTTTTGATAGTCTACTCAAAGACAAGTGAAGTTTGTTGTAAATATTAAATATAGAACACACGTCCTGTGTTTGTAATAGTTTCCATTTGTGTATTTTCAGGACATTCACCCATAACATGCTGGCGTTTGGGCTCAGTAAGAAGCTGTGCAATGACTTCCTGAAGAAGCAGGCAGTGATTGGGAACCTGAATGAAGGTAAAGTGTTATAATTCAGCGGATAATTCACGCTAAAACACTTGAACTTTCAGCCCAGTCACTTACTTGGTATTCATAGTCGTAAAGCAGAGGGGTGAGAGCAGCTTCCCTTTTACACCTGATATTAACTTGTGAGCTGGATCTCTTACCTACACACATGTTAATGTAGTTTAAATGCACACTAAGCACACTGCAAACAGAATGTGATCGGATCAGCCAGACCACTTCTGGAAGTGACTCACACTGTGATCAGATCTCAGCATATATAAATGACAGTTGAACAGTGTGAACACTTTCTTTATGCGGCTATTTTAGTGTCATGTCATTGTAAAGCTGTCTGCCAAAAAACCACTTTACACTTCCTGCCCAACACCAGACACCAAACAGCAGACAGATAAAGAAGCAGACATTCCCTCAGGAGCAGGTAGAGAGCAGAGGAGAGATCCCACTCATCAGGTGGCCAGAAACACAACACCGTGTGAATGATAATGTTGCTCAACAGTTGCAACAGTTTGCTGAGAAGTTCATCTTAAAAGCTGATATGTTCATTTAAATGACCGTAATGCAGCTAAAAAAAAAAAAGCATGTGTGTTTTATTCATTTTCAGAACAGTACAAGTTGCTGAGTGACCACATAGAGAAAATGGCGGCAGAGTGAGTTTGAGGACGACAGGTTGCATTTCGAAGTCTCTGCATCAAAGACTGAAAGCACACAGACATCAGATTTCTTTTCAGCTCTTCATAGTGACCAATTCCCTGTTTGACTGTTGTTGCATTTTGTGTGGTGCACTGCTGAGAAACGGCATAATCCTCTGCACTGAACTGTGCCATAGTTGTAGCAAACACTTGTTTATCCAGCTTGTTCGTGCTCTTCTGCATCCTGTTCCTGTATCAGCAATAATACGATATCAGCAGCTGGTGCATACTTCAATATCTGTAACGCCTCTGTCTGTGACCTGCTTTACCAAAACTAGAAGCATCAAGTGAAACCACCAAGTATAAAACCTGAACATGCTCGATATGGTGTCAGATAGATAATGCTGTTTTATTCTGTGTTTCCTTGGAAACCCTATTTATTACATGTTAGCGTAACACATCTAATAACATCTGGTGTGTCATCCTGACGTATCATCCTGCCTTGTTTAGATTTACATAAACGTCCACACACAGGTCGAAGCAGACGGGTACACGGCTCATAGTGTTCTAATCTACTATTTGTGTGGTGTCTAAAGCTGATTACTGTACACTGTAACACTGTAGTATCCTAATTGGCAATACAAACTAATAATACAGCTTTGAAATCATGTAATATATAACTTTATTGTTGGCATTTTAAAATGGCTGAAGTAATATCCCTCCATGACCTCTCTTAAAGAAATAAATGGTCTGCGCTCTACCAGGTGAGCCACCGGGGCGCCCCTCATCACTATTTCTCTCCGCTAGAAACACTTCTGTTGTGTTGTGAGTGGTTGCAGCACATATTGTCAAATTGATGAAGATGTTTTCTGAATTTGTTTGTGTTTTCTTAAGTTGCAGTGTGTTGAGCTCTCTGGGCCATCGTAGGAAACACCTACCAGCGCTTCTGAAGCTCACAAGTTAACATGCATTTTGTTTGTTTAATTCACACAAAACTGAAGTGTAAAAATGACAGTTTGCATATTTTGTTAAAACCACAACTTGTGATTTTTACACTTCGGTTGTTGTGTGGATTAAACAAACATGATATGATGTGTTAATTGGTGCAGTTTAGAGGTGCTGGTAGGCGGACGGGTTGCTGTAGAGAGGATGTAGAGCAGAGGACGTCAGTAGAGTAGGCAGTCCTTGTGGCCCAGGACACATTTGCGTTCACACTCCTAAAAGAATTCGGACACATGTGGCCCAGACCACCTCCAAATGTATCCTCGATATGTCTTGGGTGTGTTCACACCTGAACTTCGAGCTGACCACTTGTGATCAGATCACCTGAGATGGATGTTAATATCAGGTCTAAACAGGGCCTGTTTCCTCCTGCTTCCAGTCTTTACGCTGAGCTAAGCTAAAGGCCTGCTAGCTGTAGCTTCATAGTGGACAGACAGTGGTATCGGTCTGCAACTCTTGTTTTGTCTTTCTTCTTCTTGTCTTACTTCCTTAGAGAAATGCTGCTACCTTTTTCAATTCCATTTTTGCCGCTCTCACTCCGACACACATTTATAGCCCAGTGGTCGTGATTTTATGCTTTCATTTTGATTTTGATTAGAAACTGATCCCTTAGGAAGATTTCCCATCCAAAGTGCCTTCCATGAAAGTTAATACACATGTCTTTATCCTCTGATGCTTCCCTTGATTGAACACTAATGCACAGCCTGCAAAGACGACTTTTTTTTTTAATCATTCCCTGCTAGATTCACAACTGCTGCAAATACAATTCACGGTATTTCTATCTGTAGTGGTTTATATTCATTTAGTTGAGCTGTAATGCCAACAGCATAGCTGAGCTCCAGCCCACCATACACACTCTTTCCTGTTCTGCTGCATGTGCATCTATCTGTGTGTCTACCTAGCATGTGGAAACAGTATCAAGCAAATGTAAAATGAGTGACTGAACTGTGTGGTGACACTCCCTAATTGTATTACTTCATCTTGCCACAGCGGGGTAGCATTGTGTCTTCATTCAAACATCCAACTCATCTGATTCAAGACTATATCAATGTGTGTGAATATGAAATATGGTTGTCTACATTTGAACGTCAGGATGATGATCTCCCTGACAGCCATTTCAAATTGTTGTAATCCATTGTGTCAATGAAGTCATTCTGTAAATACTGTAGATATTTCTCTGTATGTTGTAAGAATTTAATCATGTGCTGCTGTCTGTGAATTGTGGGTCTTTAATTGCAGATGCATAAACAATAGATGTACAGTAACAGTGCTTTGTGGCCCTTGTTTCCATGAGAAATATAAATGTCTAACTGTAGTCATGACCCTGAAGTGCCCCCGTACAGACCACCTGTGTTTGATGTGGTCATTCAGTGTTTGCCTGCAGTTGTGCAATAATCTCCAGTGTAAATGCAGCTGGATGATGTGTCTTCATGTCATCTTCTACACGCAGTCTAATCATACAAATCATATGGAAAGCCTTGCAGACCTCTGTCCGCTTTATACTTTTTTTTTTAATTAGCTCTGTTAATTCTCTCTCGTGTCCCTTTGCATGTGTGTCTCTAAATCATTGAAACATATTCTTAGGCTATGTGCAAAATGGCTGTTTTTTCCTGATGTGATCTTTGACTCCTGATTTGGTTGAAGTATTTGACCTGTACATTAGTAGCTCAGCATGAGCCATTTGCACTACATTTAGTCTCAGCATCTCTACACAGTAATCTTCCTCTGAATAACATTGATGCCTTTTATATTTGTTCTGCATGGCCAGTGCTCTCTCTCTTTACATGGAGCATATCCTCTGTGAAATCTTGATGGTATTTTCTCTTGTTGACCAATTTTTGTTACGTATCAACCCAGTGAAATTTATCATCAAAGGAGTACATTAGGTTTTTGTGGAATTGCAGTGTTGGTATTGTCCCTGTGTCCCCAGTTGAAGTTTAGTTTTGGGGTTCCGTGCTAATATTTAAGCATACATTTCGCTGTGTGATGGCAGCTAGCCAGCATTATTCAAACCGAGATGAAGATTAATTCAAAACAAAATAAAAGACCATTAACTCGCTGTAGCTAATGTAGCCTTTTTTATTCTGGAGCTATCTCAGGTGAACATTAGATGATTGACATTGACCCAAATCTCTCACTTCATTTGGAAAAATAAATAAGCAGAGAAAGTTTATGCAAATTTTACAAATTCCTTTACAAAACTGCCACTGACTGAAAATCATCTGAGACTACCTGTTGTTTATTCAACAGTAGGACCTAGTTCATATAAAAAAACAGTAATATTCTGCATGTTAGCATATCTTCCTAGCATCATTAGCCAACTGCCATCATGACAAAAAGTACTGACATTTATATAAATGTGCTGTGTTGTAAAACTGAAGTGTTATGACTGAAAACACAGTATGCTAACGTTCATTAGCCTGTGACTAGGCTTGGTTTAGCTGCTGTGACTGTAATTCCTGTATGTGACGAAGTGGTGACAATGCTAAATGTAACCTAGCTAGCAAATGACAGCAAATGAAGCATTTGGGAACCAAGGCTTAACTGCAAAGTCACATAGAATTTAGCATGTATGCTATCAAATGTTAGCTGGCATAGATGGTATACGGGGAACACAAGGTTAATATCAGTGTGTACATGTCTATCTGCTGGGTGTACAGTCGCCTCATTTGCATGGACATGTAATGTTGAATCAAGTTGCTGAAACTGTAATAAATTTATTTTTTGATGTCACTTTTTGTGGATCTCTTCCTGGATTTGTGCACTGTCCTCAACGTGTCAGTAAGTGTTTAGTAATATATACATACATTGTGTTTGCACTGTTACTGTTTACCACACATTTACAGATACACTATCTCAACATTTCAGAAGTTTTTTTCTGCAGATCTTTTATTTTTATGCCTCTGTGCCGCCATCGGTCAGAGCTGGAGGCATGTTGTTTTCGGGGTTGTCCGTCCGTCCGTCCGTTCCATTCTCATGGATGTGATATCTCAGTAATGCCTTGAAGGAACTTCCTCAAATTTGGCACAAACATTCACTTGGACTCAAGGATGAACGTAATTGATTTTGGTGGTCAAAGGTCAAAGGTCAAGGTCAGTGTGACCTCACAAAACACTTAAGCCATTACCTAAGACTTCACACAGCAATTATGACAAATGGTTAATATTTTATATGACTGGAAAAACACGGATGTAACCTGAAACTAATCTGTGGTGGAGGGATACAACTACGAGGAGGAAATTCTAGTTATTTACTTTTGTGGCTATTTATCTATGTATCTTGTCTTGGTTATTTTTCTTATCTTATTTTGTCTTCTTGTATATTTCATTTTTATTTTATTTTTAGCGCTGTTGGTCTCATCTACAATAACAATAAAGTGTTAAGTTTTTAGCTGAAGCTGCTAACAAAACATTTTGTGATTTGTTGCGCATTTGACCCTTTATATATTTAAAAAGTGTTATTTTAGCCACTAGAATTTCTGCCTTGATGGAAAAGCCTGTGAAAGACCATGAAATTCAAAAAAGCAAAAAGTAATATAAAATGTGATACCACTCTAATAAAAACAATGAAACTTTATTGATCTTTGGGAAAATATTGTTGCAGCAATAAAAGCAATATCAATTCAGAAGGAAAAAAGAGAGCACCCTTTTAAAAATACTGCACACTCGTGCTTTTTTCTGTATGTGTAGGTGTGTCTGTGTGTATGTGAGAGCTTGTATATGTCTGTGTCAATAGCAGCAGGGTGTTGATTGGGACCCTCTGCAGCAGTACAATGTGCTGGACTGTTACAGTGTTTGAGTTTCTGTCCCAGCTGCCTGCACTCTGCCATTTCCAGCTCTGTGTATAAATAAACAGCAGTCACGCTAGCTGCGCTCTGATTGGACACCATGTAATGAGTTGTGAAAGGCCAGTCAGCAGTGTCACACCATGAACACCCGCCTCCATCTAATTGATGGCAGACCTCAGCATACATGACACAGTTATGCAACATGCTGGTCACTTGTTGTCACTTTTTCTGTGTCTGGTGCTCTTCCCTCACAGACTGAAATCTGCACATCCTGTGTGCAGTGATGTAGGCATGTATGAATTATGTAATTCATCAAGTTTTTTCAATGCATGTGTGGACATCTAAACACATTCTGTATACCCTGTATGATCTATTCTGTAGTTAATGTGCAAAAGCTTCACATGTTGCATATCTTGTGTCAGTTTTTATGTATTGCATTTACATTGATTTTGTTAACAGTTCAATGTTTACTTTTTTTCTGAATATATACAGTTTTTTTTTTTTTTACATTGCCATCACATCAGCATCAAAGCTGGTGGGCTGCAGAAGTAAACTTTTGAGTAACTCATGAACTTTACCTTTGTTTCAATCTGCTGTTGCAGTTATGTAAAATATTGTGGTGCTAGTGTAAAACAAATGTTTGACAAAACAAAAAAGTTTATTGCTGCAAACTCCTCTCTAATTATCCCTCAGTGAGCTGAGGCTTTGCAGAGGGCAGGAACTGCAACCATGAAAGTCCCAAAACTAGAACAAAAAAAAAGAAAAGGCTCCTGTGGTCAAAAGGCAAAAAAAGTCCATGGCTTCCTGTGTGACTAAGCTCAGAAGTCCAGTCAGCAGCTTTCAGAGCTTCAGTTGACATCTGATGGACGGCATTCAGATCTTCTTTGATGACGTTTAGTGAAGCTTGTAAAGCAGATGGAGCTTACATGTGAACAGTTTCCTCTGAGGTTGGTCCACATGTGATACTGTTGTGTGACTTCGAAATACACAGTTGATATGTAATACATGTTCAAACCTACATGAATTTAATCATTTCAGTAACAGTGTGGTGCTGGGCAGAGGGTCAAAGATTTACCCCCCATCAGTTTCTTCATAGCCTGTAAACATGATAGTCTGTGTCTCATATATTTCATATTCCACATACATGTTTACCTTACACACGTTTAATTCCTCCACTGAAATCCTTTCTATTCTCCTTCTATTTGTTGTATAATCTGTGTAATTTATTTCTATTATAAATCATCTCTAGTTCAAACATCATCAATAACCGATAATATCTAATATCATGGATCATCAGAGTGGTGTAACATCAGGTGACTTCTCTCTGCTTCTTCTTTTTAATGATAGGGGACATTTGCTCAAACACATGTATTTTATAGCAGAGACACACAACACAACTATGATGCCTTCACAGTCACTCTGACAATTACACATTTAGCAGACATGTGGGATTTGTACCAGAGAAGTTGTGCAGTATAAATCTTAACTGGTTTGTTTTAGCTTAAGTACGCAAATCAAATTTGTGTATATTTGTGCGTGTGAGGACACAAACTCCAAACT